CTGGGGCTACTCAGTTTTCCTATGTCTGCTTTTCCAGGGCACAACCATATTAACATCACTGACTTCTGTGCTTCACAACAAAAAAGAATTCCCCAACCCAGAGACATTTGACCCTGGTCACTTTCTGGATGACAGTGGCAAATTTAAGAAGAGTGACTACTTCATGCCTTTCTCAGCAGGTAATAGAAATTTATATCCATCTGTAATTCGGGGAACAAGATAACTGTATGAGATCAGTTGGGACTTGCATGGTGCCTGCTCTGGGGCTGATACAATTGCTCCTTGTACATGATCACGAGCACCACTCCCAATGCCCATATGCTTTCTTATCCACGATCCATCCTCATTATTGGGGCACAGCAGTGGATCCTGGGGAATGTGACCCACTTCTATCAAAGTGAGAAAGGTAGGAAATGTGTTGATTAAGTTCTGTTTCCAGATACATTGCCAAGCTACTCAATGGAAAATCTCCTATGAGAAAGGGATGGGAAGGAATAAAGAAGGGAAGAGGTGGGCACAAGAAGGAAGAATGCTGTTACAGTGTGGGAATTGCAGTAAATGTCACAAAATAGAACGTATATAGATTACTGAATGGAAAACCAACTTATTCTGTAAACTTTAATCCAAAGCACAAAAGGATTAAAAAAAAAAAAAAAAAACTTTTACTAGAAGGCAAACCACTACTCATCTGTCAATCTGTCGTACTGTGGAAACTTACATAATCCTGTGATGCTGGTATTTCAAATACCAGCAGGGTCACCAATGGTGGGAAGGTTTCAGCAGAGCTTTTAGACTAAGACAAATGAGAAAGAAGGATGTGGAGGTCTACTTCTGGAGGAAAAAAAAAAAATGGCAACTGAAAACTTTATGAAGAGCAGTGGAACATTGTCTGATACAGTTCCAGAAGATGAGACCCTCAGGTTGGAAGACACTCAAAATACCACTCCCAGGAAGAGCCTCCTCCTCCAAGTAGAGTCAACCTTAATGGCATGGATAGAGCAAAGCTTTCAGGACCTCCATTTGTTGATGTGAAAAACTCAAAATGAGAAGAAATAGATGCAAACATCCATTAATCATCAGAACATGGAATGTATGAAGTACGAATATCAGAAAATCGGAGCTGTTAAAAATGAAATAGAACACAGAAAGATAGATATCCTAGACATTCATGAGCTGAAATGGATTGGTATTGGCCATTTTTAATTGGACCATCCTGTGGCCAGGAATGACAACTTGCACAGGAAAGGGTCTCATTCTTCATCAAAAGAACATTTCAAGATCTATCCTGAACTACCATGCTGTCAGTAATGAAATCATATTCATATGCATACAAGGAACACCAGTTAATTAGACTGTTATTCAAATTTAGGTGCCAACCACTAAAGCCAAACATAAGGAAATGAAAAATTTTTATCAACCTCTGCAGTCAAAACTAATCAAGCATGCAATCAAGATGCATTGATAATTACTGGTGATTGTGATGTTGGAAACAATAAACAAACAAAAAACAGCACCAGAGATCATGTTAAAATTTTGAAAGATCAATGATTAATTCATTGCAAATACCTTTTTTCAACATAAACAGCAGCTATCCACATGTACCTCACCAGATGCAATACACAGGTATAAAATCCACTACGTCTGTGGAAAGAGATGATGGAGGAGCTAACTATCATCAGTCAAAACAACCCCAGAGGGCACATATTCTAGTTCAAGTTGAAGATGAAGAAAATTAAAACAGATCAACAAGAGCTAAAATACAACCTCATGTGTATCCTACATGAATTTAAGGACCATCTCAAGAATAGATTTGATGCATTGAACATCAATGACCAAAGACCAGGTGAATTGTGGGAGGACATCAAAGATATCATACTTGAAGGAAACAAATGGTAATTAAAAAGACAGGAAAGAAGAAAAGCCAAAATGGATAGCAGAGGAGACTCTGAAACTTGGTATTGAATGTAGAGTGCCTAAAGTGAAATGATGAAGGCAAAAGAGCAGAACAGAAGATTTCAAAAGGTGCCTAGAAAAGAATGAAGAAAACCAAAGATGCATGGAAACAATTAGTCCAAGTGCCTGGTACACAATGCGATCCTCACCCTGTATGACTGTAAGACCAGGAGAACTACCACTGTCCACCACTCAGAGGGACATCTAAGTAGGAGATCCTTGATAGAGTGGGAAAACAATGTGGAATAAAACTCAAAATCATTTGGGGGAAAAAAGGAACCAGGTTTGCTGGTCTGAGAGAGCCTGATGGAACCACTGAGCCTATGGGCCCTAGCAGCCCTTCAGGTCTGGAATTGAACCCACTCTGGTGGCTTCCAGCCAAACAAGAGACAGGCATATGAGGTGAACATTTACACTAGGTTGGTAACGCTCCTTGGAGAGAACAATCATGGGAGAATAGAAGGGTTGTTAACACATAGGCAGACAGCTAGCTCAGGGGGCAGAAGTGCATAGGAGGGAAGGACACAAGGAAGAGGTAACTTTGGGAAGGAAGTGGGAGGGGAGCTGTTGCATTGTGGTAAATTGTAGTCAATGTCATGAAACAAAGTGTATGTGAACTGCTGTATGGAAAGTGAGTTTGCTCTGTAAACTTTCACTCAAATCACAATTTTAAAAAAAAGGCACCTAGAGAAGACAAACTAAAGTATTTAGTTTGCAAGAAATAGAGTTAGTAAACCAAAGGGGAGAACACACTTGGCATTTTTCAAACTGAAAGAACTGAACAAAAAAAAAAATCAAGCCTCGAGTTGCAATATTGAAGGATTTGATGGGCAAAATCTTCAACAATGCAGAAAGCATCAAAAAAAGATGGAAGAAATATAAAGCAACTCTGTACCAAAAACAATTGGTCAATGTTCAACCATTTCAAAAGGTAGCATATGATAAAGAACTGATTGAATTGAAGAAAGATGTCAAGTTGCAGTGAAGGCAAATGCTCTAGGAATTAACAGAAAACCCATTGAGATGTTTCAACAAATGGATGAAATGCTGGAAGTGCTCCCTTGTTTATGCCAAGAGATTTGGAAGACAGCTAACTGGCCAACAAACTGGAAGAAGTTCATGTTTGTGCCCATTGCCAAGAAAGGTGATCCAACAGAATGTGGAAATTATCAAACAATATAATTAATATCACATGCAAGTAAATCCTTGCTGAAAATAATTTGAAAATGGCTGCAGCAGTATTATCGACAATGAACTGACAGGAATTCAAGCCAGATTTAGAAAAGGATATGGAATAAGGGATATCACTGCTTATGTCACATGGATCTTGCCTGAAAACAGAGAATACCAGAAAGATGTTTAGCTGTGTTTCATTGGCTACATAAAGGGATTTGACTATGTGGATTATAACAATTTATGTATAAAACTGTAAAGAATGGGAATTCCAGAACACTTAATTGTGCACATAAGGAATCTATACATAGACCAAGTGCCAGTCATTCAAACACAACAAGGGGATACTGCATGGTTTAAAATCAGGAAAGGTGTTGTCAGAGTTATATCATTTCACCATACTTACTCAATCTGTACACTGAGCAAATATTCTGAGAAGCTGGAGTATAGGAAGAAGAGCACACCATCAGAATTGGAGAAAGACTCATTAACAACCTGCAATTTGCAGATAACACAATCTCACTTGCTGAATACAAAGACTTGAAGCACTTACTGAGGAAGATAGAAGACTACAGCCTTCAGAATGGATTACATCTCAACATAAAGAAAACAAAAATACTCATAACTGGACAAATGAGCAATATCATGTTAAATGAAGAAAAGATTGAAGCTGTCAAGGATTTTCTTTTACTTCGCTCTACAATCAACATCCATGGAAGCAGCAATCAAGAAATCAAATGATGTATTGCATTGGGCAAATCTGCTTGTGCAAAAGACCTCTTTAAAGTGTTAAAGAATGAAGATGTCTCTTTGAAGGCAAAGGTGTACCTGACCCAAGCCATGGTAATTTCAATCATCTCAAAAGCATGAGAAAGCTGAACAATGAATAAGGAAGACAGAAGAAGAAGTGATACATTTGAATTATGTTGTTGGGCAAAGAAGACTAGACAAAGAATAGACAATGGATTTCCAGAAGAATGAACAAA